TAAGTAAGACGAACAAAGCATTATCTGAAATATGAAAAATGTATAACCAAAATAGAAACTTACAAATGCGGCAATGTTTTCCCTTGTGCCTCTGTGAGAATCGCCCATTGTTAGAAGAGCCATTGTTTAAAATGCTTGAGATTATGAAAGACTTATAAAGAGTAAAAGAGTATGAAAGACTTAGAAAGTGTAAGAGATTATGAAAGATTACGTAGCAAAGAGTGAGACTTGTGTGAGTGTGAGAGATGTATGATATGGTATGTATTTATAGGCAAAAAAATTTCATATAGTGGTTGCTGGTGCTTGCATGTATGCGAAGTGTCACTCTTGCAGGCTAGGTGGCAGCCTAGGGGGTTACATATATGCATGCATGTACAAAAATGAAAGGTGTCACTCTTGCAGGCTAGGTGGCAGCCTAAGGATGTATCCCGATTGGACAGTAAGGGAGGCGCCATCGGACTTGGAGAAAGAGTACAAAAATGAAAGGTGTCGCCATCCCAATTGGCGAATAAGAGGTGTCCTTGGTTGCAGGCTAGGCTCAGGCTACGTGACAGCCTTTAGGATGCCATGCCTGAATGCATGTAACCCTATTGGAGGTGATGGGAGGAGACTTACAACATACAGTATAGGTGCAGAGTAGGCACAGGCTAGGTGGCAGCCTAGGGGGTTACATATTTGCATGCATGTATCACGATTGGACAGTAAGGGAGGCGCCATTGGACTTGGTGAAAGAGTACAAAAATGAAAGGTGTCGCCATCCCAATTGGCGAATAAGAGGTGTTCTTGGTTGCAGGCTAGGCTCAGGCTACGTGACAACCTTTGGGATGCCATGCCTGAACGCATGTAACCCTATTGGAGGTGATGAGAGGAGACTTACAACATACAGTATAGGTGCAGAGTAGGCACAAGCTAGGTGGCAGCCTAGGGGGTTACATATCTGCATGCATGTATCACGATTGGACAATAAGGGAGGCGCTATTGGACTTGGCGAAAGAGTACAAAAATGAAAGGTGTCGCCATCCCAATTGGCGAATAAGAGGTGTCCTTGGTTGCAAGCTAGGCTCAGGCTACATGACAGCCTTTGGGATGCCATGCTTGAATGCATGTAACCCTATTGGAGGTGATGGGAGGAGACTTACAACATACAATATAGGTGCAGAGTAGGCACAGGCTAGGTGGCAGCCTAGGGGGTTACATATCTGCATGCATGTATCACGATTGGACAGTAAGGGAGGCGCCATTGGACTTGGCGAAAGAGTACAAAAATGAATGGTGTTGCCATCCCAATTGGCGAATACGAGGTGTCCTTGGTTGCAGGTTAGGCTCAAGCTACGTGACATCCTTTGGGATGCCATGCATGTAACACTATTGGCAGCCTTGGGGGTTACATCCTTACTTAATTGAAATTTTTAGTCTTACGTTTATCATAACATTGATTCACTTAATCTGTCAAATCTTCCAACCTTCAAACGTTCTTACAATCAAACCTTCAAACCTTCAAACAATCAAACATACAAACCTTCGAATAACTCATAAAGTTCAAACATTCCAACCTTCAAACCTTACAACATTCAAACCTTCATACAATCAATAAACTTCAAACATTCCAACCTTCGAATAACTCATAAAATTCAAACATTCCAACCTTCATACCTTCAAACCTTCAAACCTTCAAACAATCCTACGCAATGGCCTATGCACCATAATTTGTCGTCAAAGCACATTTCAACGGTGAGACATACATTTGTCCCACCGCTGGGTTTTTGTTTAGAGACACAGACAACATCCGATTTCTCTTAAACGGGAAAGCCAATTTCTCGTACTTTAAAAAACGATTGGAGGCCAAACTTGGACGAGGCCCGGTGACCCAAATATTTTATCAGAATCCAGTTTTTTTTGGAAACAACCAAGTAATTTTTTATAAGGTTGAAGTCCAAGATGACGAGGATCTCCAGAATATGTTTTCCAGCCATGTGTATTCTGGGTACGACTCTATTGAGTTGTACGTTATGCTGCGAGAGCCTCAGGTGACACAAGTGGTTGATCCTTTGGAGAATGAACAAGCTGAGGTAGATGCAGTTGATGAAGAAGAAGAAGATGACGAGTTAGAGTTCGATGAAATGGTGAATGATGATTTCGACGATGATGGCATACCTAGTATTCCTGCAAACGAAATCTACACACCACCTCCGCACATGACAAACTTCAACATGGGCGGAGATGAACCTTCTACTGACTTATTTTTCAATCTGTATATGCAGTCGGATGAAAATTTAAAAGAGAAGGACAAGTTTCGTAACAGAGAGGAATGCATCAGAGCCATAAAAAAATTCCACATGCTCAACTCGGTTGATTTTAAGGTGGACCGTGTCAACTCGGAAAGGTACAAGATCAAGTGCGTCCACCCTGACTGTATGTTCAAGCTGACCGCATCATACAGATTAAAAGGTGACTGCTGGGTCATATGTTCCATGACTACCCACACTTGTGTAAGTTCCACTCAATCACAGGACCACCGAAAACTTAACTACGATCTCATCTGTCAAGAAATCCTACCCCTGGTCAGCAACGACCCATCTTTGAAGGTGAAAACAATCATCTCCCACATCATCATGGTTTTTAACTACACTCCGTCTTACCGTAAGGCATGGTTAGCAAAGACTAAGGCGATTGAAAGGGTGTACAGAAACTGGGAGGAGTCATACCAAGAACTTCCCTGCTACCTGAATGCACTCAAGATGTATTCTCCGGGTAGTGTTTACGTTCTGGAAATAGTGCCAGCATACGCCCAAGATGGTAGTCTACTAAACGGCAACGGAATATTCAGTCGAGTGTTTTAGGCATTTCAACCATGCATCACAGGATTTGCATCATGCAAACCAATTATACAAATTGATGGGACTTGGTTGTATGAGAAGTACAAAGGCACGCTACTGATGGCAGTTGCACAAGATGGCAACAACAACATTTTCCCCATTGCCTTTGCCCTTGTCGAGGGGGAGACCGGTGGTGCTTGGAGCTTTTTTCTGAAAAATCCGCGGACACACGTGGCTCCTCAACCAGTTCTCTGTTTGATCTCGGACAGATATGCCTCCATTGAAAGTGCCTACAATAATCCTACAAACGGTTGGCATGACCATCCTTCTACGCATGTCTATTGCGTTAGGCATATCGTCCAGAATTTCACGAGGGAGATCAAGGACAAAACATTAAGGAAAGCGGTTATGAATGCGGGATATGCATTGACACAACCCATATTCAAATATTACCGCAACGAGATCCGTTTGTCAAATCCGGAAGCCGGTAGGTGGATCGACAATATTCCGGTGGAAAAATGGACTAGGTCATACGACAATGGCCAAAGATGGGGGCACATGACAACGAATCTTATTGAATCAATGAATGGGGTATTCAAAGGCATACGAAACCTCCCGATCACTGCTTTGGTAAAATCTATGTATTTTAGGATGGCTGCGTTATTTGCCAAAAGAGGTGAAATATGGAATGCGGTGTTGCAATCTGGACAACTATGGAGTGAAAGTTGCATGAAATACATTAAGGAAGAAAGTGCTAAAGCCAACACTCATATGGTTATACGGTTTGACCGACACACCCACAACTTCATTGTGAAAGAGACAATCGACCACAACGAAGGCCTGCCAAGACAAGAATATAGGGTCATGCTACCTTCTCGTTGGTGCGATTGTGGCAGGTTTCAAGCATTTCGTATGCCTTGCTCTCATGTCATTGCCGCTTGTGCTCATACCCATCAAGACGCGCTGCAACTTCTGTCAAACATTTACAAATCTGAAACGTTGCTCAACATTTACAACAACAACTTTCCTTTGGTAGCAAAACCAGATTATTGACCTGCATACGACGGCGAAATAGTGTGGCACAATGACCAAATGCGAAAGAACAAGAAGGGTCGTCCCAAAAGTAAGCGCATCACAACAGAAATGGACGATCTTGACAAGTTGGAAAGAAAGTATGGTTTATGCCGTCAGGTCGGACACAATCGCAAAAATTGTCTGAATCGGGCGTCTGCCTCGACCACATAAAAATTGTAATACATAAAATCTTTCCTTAATTGTGTTGTAAACATTAGGGTTTTCCGTTAACAGATTTTGCTACGATTAATAAAACGCGTACAAGAAAAATTAACGATATTCCGTTTACAAAATTACAACTGTTAACACAATTTCATCTGACCCATGCATCATCAACATTACATCGCTGTCTGTTTTGACTTCCTCCAACCATACATTAGGTCTTCCTGTCACATGTGAGGTTGTTGTTCGTTTTCGCTGGATCCTTCAAATTTTCCCCCCTCCGCAATGTCTCCATCTAACCATCGCATCAACTCCCGCTTTAGACGCTCCATGGAGTGAATGTCCCAGAATTTCATTTTCATCGCAGGTTTCATGGCGAAGAAGATAACGTAACCATCTCTGCTAAAAATCATGGGCGACGTCATGACGCAAATAACAGAGTAAAAAATAAAAATACAGTGCGAAAAAGTGTGCGAAATTTCGGAGAAACAGACGAATTATTTATAAAACAACATTTTGCCCTAGTTTTGTCCTAGGAGCCAAGTGAGATGGCGCCTCCTCTCACTTTTAAGGAGCATGCGCCATCTCACTTGGCTAAAAGTGAAGGGAGGCGCCAAGTGAGATGACGCCTAGGGCAAAAGTAAGGGTGGATGCGCCAATTCAGATGGCTCCTCCTTTGGGGAGTCATCTGAAACATGATTATTTACGTAATTTTTTCCGAAACGCGGTTATTTGCGAAATATTATTTTAATACTTGATTATTGTAAAAAAAAATTCGTTTTTTTGGAGTCAAACATAAATTTTAGGGCGGTGTAGGTTTATCACCCCAACTTTTCATGATTTTGACACTAACACCCCCTTTTTAGTTAAATTTTTTTATCAATAAAATAAAATAAAAAATATAAATAGGAAGAAAAGAGAAGTGGACGATGAGCAGTTGAAACCCTAATGAACCAAAACCACTACGGACTCCTCTATAAACCTCCGCCGGCAGCCCCTCCCACAACCAGAATTTCATCACATTTCCTCAAATTGAAGCTGTTTCAGATTCATTTGTTTTGCAAATTTTCTAACAGCGAAAATATCAGCAAATTTTTGAGATACAGTATGGATAACAACAATCCTTCGCCAACGAGTAAGAAATCACTGAAGAGAAAACGGAAGTTGAGCAAGAAGAAGAAGAAGGAAGCAACCGCTCAAGAGAATAAGGTTTTGAACTGTAACGTGATTTGTGAGTTTGAAAACTCTACCACAGGTGAGTAATCACACTCTTTTAAACCTAATTTATGGTACATTTTGATGGATTCGGAATTTGAAACGAGTTAGTGTTTTATCGAAGTCGATGAAAACCCAACTCTGTAAATTGCGGGGTTTGTGAAATGCTGGATTTAATCATGTAATTGATTGTTATTATATATTCAATTGGTCTGTTGATTCTATGATTGCGAATGATGTTTTTATGATTCCTTGTTGAATATGTATGCTTGGTTGATTGTTGCTTTTGATGGAATGGTATGGATTAATCCTTTGACAAATCTGTTTTTATGATGATGATAATGAGAAAAAGGATTAGAAGGGATATTGGTATGAATAGTCCAGTTTAGACATGTTTGTGTGTAATGAAACTAAAATGGATTTTGATCGATGATTGTTGGGTGGCTGTTTGAGATGAGCCATGTGTTTCACATGAGCTATGTGATCCCGATTGGTGTGTTTTGTATCTCACGGTTGGTTATTTGCTTTATATGAGCCATATGTATGAGATGAGCCATGTGCTCCAAATGTAATGAGCTATATGTGGGAGATGAGCCATGTGTTCCTTAGTTATTTACCCAAAAGGAGCTATGTGCTCCCTATTGATCATGGTTATTTACCCATGACATGCCATATGTATGAGAGATGAGCCATGTTTTCAATAGTTATTTACCCATGAGGAGCTATGTGCTCCCTATCGAGTTTTTGGTCCTTTATCTCACGGTTATATATGCATGATGAGAAATATGTATGAGACAAGACGAGCCATGTGTTGCATAGTTATTACCCAGGATGAGCTATGTGCTTCCTATTGATTGGTTGGTTCCATATCTCACATTTTTAGACCCAGGATGAGCCATATGTATGAGATAAGTCATGTGTTCATAGTTATTTACCCAGGATGAGCTATGTGCTCCCTATCGATTGGTTGGTCCTATATCTCACGGTTATATTCCCAGGTTGAGCAATATGTATGAGACAGGCCATTTGTCCCATTATTATTTTCCCAGGCTGAGCCATGTGCTCCTTATCAGTGGTCCTATGTCTCACAATCATTTGCCAAGAATGTGCCATATGTGGAAGATGAGCCATGTGTCCCTTTGTTATTTACCCAATATGAGCTATGTGCTCCATATTGATGGTTTTTGTCTCTCATGGTTATTTGCCCAATATGAGCTATGTGCTCCATATGGATGTGTCCAATAGTCCTTGGTTATTTACCCAGAGATTGAGCTGTGTGCTCCACATGGATGGGTCTCGTAGTCTACAAATATGAGCTATGTGCTCCGGATTGATGGTTCTTATCTCATGGTTATTTACCCAAGATGAGCTATGTGCTCCATATGGATATGCCCAATAGTCCATGGTTATTTATCCATAGATTGAGCTGTGTGCTCCACATGGATGGGTCTTGTAGTATACAAATATTTACCTAGATACAAACTATATGCTCCATAGAGATAAGTCTCATACCTCATACGAATAAGCTTTTAGCTTCACAAAAACAAGCTTGATTACCCACATGAGATGAGCTGGTGTTCCACAGATTTCCATACTATCATCTTCTGGGAAGTGATAGCATATACCATTCCAATATGATGAGGCAGATCGGATGCCATGGCATTGTGTTAATTATTTTTATTATAAAGTGATTTGAACGATAATTGAGAATTGAATGACGGTATTTGATGTAAATGATTTTTTTTTGTTTTTTATTACTACTATTATTTTTGGAAGAATGCATTATTTGCCAATTTTTTTGGTTTCCGTGCCCATTGGAAACAACACTTTATCAAACTGATTTTTAAAATTTTGGTGTACTTATTGAGATTATAAACCTCACTACTAATGTTGTCTTGAGCTATTGGAAAAAGATACTTTGAGCATACTGAGGAGCCTTTTGTTCCTTGGATAATTATTGTTTCATTTGGTTAGTAATTGGCGATTCACTTTTTTATGGGTGGTAAGTTTATTTATTTATTTCGGGTTTGTTTGAAAGCCATCAAGTTTTGGTGATTCTTGCATTACTGTTGAATTTTTTAGGTGTTTGATTTATTGTCTGTTTTTATTTTTTTAGTTTTATGGTTCAGAGGATTATTTATCTTTTGCTAAATGCTTACTTCCAACTATTTAAACCCAATGTAACCGAGGCGTTACAATTTATGTACTAACAAAATGCAAAAATTATCGATTACTGATGAAGAAGATAGGCCAAAGGATTTGTCAATTCCTTCCATTGGAAAATCTGTTGGATGTTTGAAGAAGAAGCTTCTTATTCTTGACCTTAACGGGATTCTTGCTGACATAGTTTCGCACCGTTTCCCAAAGAATATAAAAAGAGATGCAATGATAGGGAAGAAAGCATGTGAGCAATTATTGTTTTTCTTTTCTTTTTTCAATGAATTAAGTCTTTTTTTATTAAGAAACCAATAACGATTACTTTGTTAATTGGACTTTAATTCGTTTCAGTATTCAAGAGGCCTTTTTGTACCTCTTTTCTGAACTTTTGCTTCGAGAAATTTGACGTTGCTGTGTGGTCTTCAAGAATGGAGTACTCTTCTTCAACTTTGTTTTATATAATATCACTCAACAACTATCTTTTCTCACTTTGTCTGCATTTATGTTTCAGTAGCTACCCTTTTTGCAACGATTTGTTCTACGGTAAGCAATTAATTATCTTTTACTTATTCTAACTTCTGGATTTTATAATTTTGCAGGCAAAATGTCAACAGTATCGTTAATCATTTGATGGGAAACATGAGTCAGAGGTTGATTTTCTGTTGGGTGAGCACCAAGCACTTTATCCATTTGCTTTGAATTTTCAAAATAATAACTTGTTGTCCTTTGTTTTTGCATAACTTGTCATCTAGCAAACCTGTCTTGGTGTATGTTTTACTCGGGAGTTTTTGGATGAAGCACTTTCTAATATGCCCAATCCGCCTAGATTTTTTGGGTGTTTTTGTGGGCGCGGTCATAAACATGCTATTTATACATTTTGGAATATTATTTACTTCAAAACATTGGTCTACTTTCATCTCATTTGTGCATATTCTTGACAGCACATTTCACAATGTACTAATACAAATATCAAAACTCTTGACAAAATTGGCAAGCCGGTTGTTTTCAAGGATCTGAGGAGAGTTTGGAATAAGTATGACCCTAATCTTCCTTGGGAGAAGGGATACTACAACGAATCAAATACATTGCTTATAGACGACTCACCCTACAAGGGTTTACTCAATCCGGTAAATTAACTAACTATTTCTTTTATCAATTTTTTCTTTTAAGATATTCTGTTATCATATATAGTGACATGTCTTAACTCATCTTTAATGTTTCATAAATTATTGTAGCCATACAATTCAATATATCCGCCATCATTTAATTGTCGACAACTTAATGACAAATCACTAGGTATGTTACAGAATGACCTATTTATTTGTGCAAATCATAAAGGTTTTGCTTTATTATGCTTATGCTATGCATTATTAATAATAACAAAAAATGATTTGTGTCAGCTGTTGGAGGTCTCCTGCGAAAATATCTGGAGCGATTAGCAGATGCTGAAAATGTGTCGAAGTTTGTAGAGCAGAATCCGTTTGGTCAAAAACGTATCAGCGAGACAAGCGAATCTTGGAGCTTCTACTTCAATATACTTCAGTCACTTAAACCTAAAGATAGAAAATCAGATTGAATCACCCAGAACTTATTTTGAAGAAATTTAGACAGAAGGCTCTCTCTCTTTGATTACCTCTAACTCTAATCAATAATACATAACTGTGTATTTTTATATGATTGCATAAAAGAGGGCCCTTTTTCAAGTTTTTCAGTGTTGTGTTTTAGTTATGATTTTTCCCCTTTTGGATAAATGTTCTAGAGTTGAAGTATTAAAAAAAAATCTTAGTTAGAATTTTGCTGAAAATGAAGACATGAATTTGATAGATTTCTTGTGTGGTGCTGTTTTTTTCTTCTGTACATAAACAATATACTAGTAATATTAAATAGTATTTTTTTTTTGTTGGCTTTCACACTTTAGTTCTCAGAAAAATGAGATCCTAGTAATTCAAAGTTTGTGTCGAGAGATATGGGCACTAGCCAAATGTTGTTTTCATCTAGGAATCAAACCCGATATTAATTGGAGCTTATATATCGCTGGAGTCCAAACCAAAGTTATCATACTCGCAAGTCTACTTAGATATGTAAATGTTAAGAATTTGTACACTTGACTTGCAAACTCTACGAGTCTATGGAAAATTAAAAATAACTTTTAAAATTTTTTAAGTGAATATATGACACACATATACATATATTTATAAACTTCTAAATTCTTCATATATGAAACAAGAATATATAATAGAACACCAATTAACATTAATATTTAAATTTAATACTCTCTAACAAACTTCTTAACAAAAAAAATTCGATAATAAAAAAATAAATAGCAAAGTATATAGTTAAAGACTTAAATTACGGTGCTCAATGTTAAAGAAAGAGAAAGTATCTTAATATATTATGAATAATAGTCTGCCTTATAACATTAAATCCCCTATGCTCATAGATTTAAATTGTGATTCGCAATTGCAACGGTAATATTATTGATAAAGTAGTCTCTGTAACCGCATGAGACCGTAATTGAGGTGTGATTTGAGATTATGCGTCCTTCCAAATTCAATTTATTTTTGAAAAATCTTAACATTAATTAGTTTCTAACGATATATTTCAAAATCTTCTAGATCAAAATTCACGCTACAACGACTACAATACTATGTATCGTAGCAACCATAATGAGTACAATCACATCCATGACCTCAACCTCAATTTAAAACTATGCCTATACTCAAATTGTTCTAACTTTATGTCAAAAATAGATTAGGTATTGAGGTGCTTTTATGTTTATATCATCGAAGTCATCTACTCGCCCTATTTTTCCTTATAACACTTGTATGCTGACTCTTTATAATTATTATTAAAAATTAATTAATTATTAAAAAATATAACAAAGTTTTATGTGAGTGATAGATTATAGCAAAACAAATAACAACTTCCTTTGTCATAAACCATAAATCTTCTAAACTATTTCATCATGTGTAAATTAATACATGGAGATTGACAATTAATGAACATGATTGAAATGAAATGGTGCATCACCTTTATATAAAAGAACATACAAGAGAAACATCCAGGTGAAACATATAAGAGAACACTAACATAACAAAAGATTGATTTACGGTAACAAACATGAACATAATAAGAGAATATCAAATGCGACCATATTAGTGATGAAGAGAGAAAGAAGCGTTGATGAAAGAAGAGATTATGAGAGAGACATTTCTATTTCTCGTATAAGTAATAAAATAATGTTTTTTTAAAATAAAAAAGTATTTTTTTTTTTTTAATTTAAGCCTTCTTTGAACTTTAAAAAAAAGTTTAGAAAAATTTATAGATTCGTAAACTCACCATAGACTCGCAAGTCTATACGAATTTATGCGAGTCTAATCGAGTTTATTAAAAAATAATTTTATGCGTGAATCTACTCGTTTTTACTTCTTAAACTTATAAACTCGTACGAATTTACGAGTCTATCCGCAAGTTTGATAGCCATAGTCCAAACCACTTGATTTATTAAATTTTATATTATCAATTTATTATCATAACTCTTTTGTATTATTTTATAGGTAATTAAAATAAAAGTTAAGTTTCTTGTAACATCCAATGTCTGTTGTGTAAAAATTTTATTTTTCAATTAAATTCTTAATTATTTTTTTATCATTTATATCGTTGTAATATTAATTAAACTTTAATTTTGAGCATACTATTTATTATTATTTTTATCTTTTTTCTTTTAATTTTTCTTATATACAATTAGTGAAACAAAATTTTGTAAGTAACTCATAATTTCTTTTACATAATATTAATCTCTCTTTTTTTTTAATTTGTGTAAGATTTTTAAAATGACATATAATTTGACAACTTAACTTATTACCTTTAAAAGATAAAGTAACATTTATTTTTACACTTTTTCTTCTTTACAAATATGACTACTATTTTTTATTTATCAAACTAATATTTATTTATTTTAGGTTTAATATCTTTTTCTATCCTTATCTTCAATTTAGGTACTAAAAAAATTGAATTAAGTTAGTGTTTAAGATGTTAGTCAAAGCCAATGGATAAAGTTATGACATTGACGGGACATTGTTCAATATTTAGACCAATTTTTATAAAGAATTTTATATATATTTAGTAATAGTGATTTTTACTATTGAAAACTCGAAAATATCATCTGCAAGTACAAATGTAAAGCCACCTCTCACTCTATTTCGCATGTGCACATGCGAATAAATTATTTTTTTGAAATCTGCTGAGAAAAAGGTTTCGAAAGTGCATATGTGAAATTTCCTCTATTTGTCATTTTTGTTTAAAACTATATCATTTCATTATTTTATAATCAGACAAATTTTTTACGATTTTTTCGAAAATATAAAATGAGCATAACAATAAGGACACAACGATTAAATTAGATGTTCAAATATAATTTTATACATAATTTGTTTGGAAAATAAGTACGGTCAAAATATTACACCAACAATAAAAAATAAAATATAACACAGGGTACTGTGTATGCCTGATCCTGACCCGTAGTGACCTCATCTGCCGACTGTACTGAGCCGTAGTAGATGCCTCACTGGCCATCCTCCTAACTATGGCAACCGCCTCAGGACCACCTCTCTCGATGATACGGGAATCCAATGCCTCTTGGCAAAGTAAGTGTATTCGGTGACAGACCAAAAGAGATTAGTGGCATGGTCATCCTCAGTCTGCTAGTTCTCTAAGAGCTCTTCATGAGCTAGCCTAGGCGGACATCTAGGATCATCAGTATCATGATATGGTGTGAGAAGTTAAAGAACCATGTCACGTAACCCCCTACACAATGTCAACTCTCAGATGCCGGCATCATCCGATACTCCTGGGCACCTGCTGCTGCAATCAGGTGCTCCTCATATAAATCCTTCAGGTGGAAGAACTTTACATGCGTCCCATTAGTGGCTCTGCAGTCCTCAAATGCTCTGAACGGATCAACTTCTAGATACTCAACCATCCATTCAACCGCCTAAGCTCGTGTTATCTTGTGATGGTTAAGTAACCTGCCTTTGATAGGTAGATGGAGAAAGCAAGAAACATCATCAAGTGTGATGGTCATCTCCCAATAGGAAAGTGGAAAGACAATGTCTCTATGTTCCATCTCTCAGCAAAAGCCCCCTGCATGCCGATGCTTATAGTATTGTAACCTGTACAGCATAATCCGGCAAGTCCGGATCCAAACAGTGTCATGGAACCACTGAGCTGCAGGTTTAAACAAATCAAAAATTTTCCGCGAGTGATTCGCATGCTTTATATGCAATCATTCATGAAACAAAAAAAGTAATAATCGTTACAATCGTATTTTTTAGTAAAAAAATAAAATGAAAAAGTGCAACTAAAAATATACCTCTCATTCCCAAACATGCTAAGCGGTATGGTCATGATAGTAAATCAAGATGAAGGTGTCATATGGCCCTTCTGGATAGCCCAGCTCCGCCTCCTCAGGTACCTTAACATCCTCGGATACCTCATCCCCCTCAGGCACCACAAACTCTTCTAGAACCTCCGCCTCATCAGGTACTTGCTCATACGCACGAGAGGTATACACCTGATGCAGACGACTCCTCGGTGCAGAAGGGGAAGCTACATTCAATTGTTCTCTTTGTACCCGACCCCGTCCTCGAGGCTGATTAACCTATTGCTCAGCTCTCTCTCGATGAGCCGAGGCAGTCTGGCTTGGCCTGCCTTGTCTCAACAGCCTGCTCGGGTCCTGGTTGTCAGCCATGTTCCTGAAATAAATGATTATAATTGTTAGGTTTTAAAAATAAAACAACTCAGACAAGAATTCACATGTGCACATGCAAAATTGATTCAGGGTGACTTCGCACATGCACATGCGAAATCCCATGCGTTCATCCATTTTCAAAGTTGCCGCTTCTTGTCCTAAAATACCTAAATGTAATTTTTATTGTCACCCATGCAACTATATTTTAAAGAGAAAACTTACACAAATTTGAAAGCTTGGAGATGATTTGGGATGACTTAAAAAGAGTTGAAATGGAGAGATGAGCAAAAATGAGTGAGTTTGGGTAGTAGAAATGTTATGGTTTGGAGAAAAAAATGAGAAGTTTTGGTGTTTCAATAAAAAAAGGTTTGAGGGGTCTGTTCTGTTTGTTTAGTTGAATACAATTCACAGACTTCATATGTACATATGCGCGAAAGGAGGAATCATGGGTAACTTCGCAGATGCACACGCGAAATCACTCCGTTTTTGACAAATTATGAGTTAATTCACAGATAGACATGCGAAGTCACATGTTATTATACAATACAGTACTTTCGCATTTGCACATACGAAATATAAGAGTATTTTAAGTTTTTCACCTTTGACCTAAAAAAAACTATTACGTGGCAAAGTAAATTCTCATTTTATAATTGATATAGCGACAAAAAAATCGTTTATTAAAAAATTTATAAATTTATATTAAAATCATTTAAGCAAGATGTTTGTATGCGAAGATGTATCAAATATGAGGCTCAAATCCATTTTGGAATTGTGATTTCTTGCCGTCGTTGAAAAATTACTTACACAGTCATACTTTATAGTCATTT